TTTACTCAAGGATTTCCAGTTTCCCTTGATTTTCTGTTTTAAGCTGAGAAATATAGATTCCGGAGGTGTAATGAATTTTAATATTCTCAAACGAATTTTCGTAATTCTTTTTAATATTACAAAAGTATTTTCATTTTAACTACATCTGGTTCTCGTTTTACGTGGACGTTTCAACGAAATCGTGTGAAAAATGTCAATGACGAAGAAAATGAAAGGAATCAATATTTTCAATATCTTAAGAAATCCGAATATTGTTCGTCGCCGCTTTCTGCAACACAACAAATTAACTTTCTTTCTTGTTTTTCTAACATCACTATCAAAAGTGTCGTTTTCGTTACTGTTCCGTGTCAATTTCAACGTTACTTTTATTTTTCATTGTGAATCAATTTTTTTTAAGTTAGATGCTTTAAAATCATACAGATCGTACACACAAAGTGATGTTCTATCATAAGCAATCGTAATGCTTCTTCAATTAAACTTAATCAATCGTTATGTTTAATTCACTCTCAATTATATTTTAATAGCTATTTTTAATTCTATCGTTTTATCGCGTAACCGTGAATAAATAGAACTTTCATGTAAGAAAACAACTCTTGGCACTGTTTGAATCGTGTTTAAATTATCAGATTTTTCAGAATTTGATTTGCTACATTACGGAACGTGGGAACATTTCCACAATTACTCAATGAAATTGAAATTAAGTAAATTACTGCTAAACATTTGGGAAATTACACGCTTCTCCTCGTTGTTTATAATTATCCCCCACGAGCCGTGAATCGGCAGCTAATGGCCAGGCGGGACCATGTTATTTGCGATAGCTCATTGTATTATGCTAATTAAACGTGTAATCAGTTTGTCGTACACAGCGCGTGCACGTCGACGAACATGTGACTCGACACGATCCGCGCGTACGCACACGTGATCGCGGAATGTTTCCAGCAGAAATACGTAACTCTACATGATGTAGCTAATGGAATTGTGTGTGTCGCCGGCGAAAAACGTTTTTTGAATCCTCGCGAGCCAGAAGCTAGGACAGTTGATTTGTTTGTAGGATTATGAATAGAAACTAGAAACTATGCGTCTAATGAAAAATTATTTCATTGTTTGGACAAACATTGTATGGTTTCGAGGGAGGCGAAATATATGGCGTATTTTTGTATGGGGCCATGCATTTTTTTTCATCATAAATCGAAATTAACTTTTCATTAGACGCATAATTTAAAAGTTGAGTCACCATGTATATACACATAGTGATTAATTTGATATTTTGCATTGCCTTCGGTGACTGAACAGAAAGTTTTAGTATCATAAAATGGTAACCGTAAAATTTCTGCAATCCAGTCCGCGAGAGTATCGCGAATGCAATATTTCACCCCGGTGCGAATTTTCTTTCCCAGCGGCCGTGAAAATCGTGATTCTACATGGACAGTGATTGATGGATACGTTCAAACAGAAATGAAAATGGGAAAGTGACTTGACGTAAAGCCTGACGTGAATTTAGAATTCGCGGAACGGACACGATAAATCATCGTAATTCGTACTTCTTGAAAGAACTGGCCAGTCACATACATACGTAAGTCCAGTCATCGAATAAAATGAGACAATGCGCTGAATGAAAGATCACGCATGGTTAGACGTATCATCTGTAAATACACGCGAGTGAAATGATCTTTCAAAAGACTCTGTCGATCGGAGCGAGAGCCGACGAGGCGGAAGTCGATCTCGTTCCAGGAGGATTCACACGATCGCGATATTTGAGCATGTTAATATCGAACATTTCGAGAAAGTTCCTGACCCTTTAATGACATCATGAGTTACCCACGTGAGCCGTGCTGTCTAAAGTTTCCCATCACTTTCTTGTAACTTTCATCGGACGCGGTCAGTTGTTTAGCTGTCGTTAAGGAGGTCAATGGCATCGATGACCGAAATCTTATCCCTGCCGAGTCTCGTTACGAGATGTAGTTCGTTAATCGAAACGTTATTTAATGACAAAGACGTGACGAAGTAGTATACTCGGTCAAGTGCTTAACCGACAACACGACGACAGTTTGCGTTAAATTTTCTATTACACAGGACTGCAGATTTTCCTACATCTTCTCCTTTTTTCATTGTGACACTTTCTTGAAAGTTCAAATATATTATATCAAATTTATATATTAAATGATTATCGTATAAAATTTAGGTGTTCTTAGTAAATAATTTTAAATTCTTATCAGTAGCTTTTATAACGCAATGAGGTCATAACTTGGATACAAATTATTAAGTAGTATTAGCCATTCGTGCAACGTCAGACAAGTTACTGTGCGATATTCTGTCGTTAAATGAAGCAGAATATTCTGCTAGTTAGATGGATTACCGTACAAAATTTAGGTGCTCTTAAAAAATAATTTTATCGAGATTAAAATTGTTGACAATAGTTTTTATCAGACGCAGTGAGGTCTTAGATCCAAGTTATTAAGTAGTATTAACCGTTCGACCAACAACTTACCGCGCAGTGTATTCATTATGTTTTTTTTCTCCAAACCCAACGATTGATCTAAACGCTGCAACTTCGCAGTGCCATGCGAAGCACTATACAAGGATCTATCAGTTACGAAAGGTCACTTACTGATCCCATTTTCTCGTGCATGTCTCTTTTCGTCAAAAGCGATCGCTCTATTCGCAGAGTGAATCACTTTTACTCAGAAGATGGTAGAAAGTAGATGGCACAACGATCTTGATAAATCAGGATCCATCCAGGCGTGTCTTCGTGCGACCTCGACGGAGGTCGACGTGTAATCCTGGACAAAAACGACGTTGCTTTTACGGCGGGGCACGTCCGGCCATATAAGTCGACGTTCGATCTCGATCGCGAGGATCTCGCCGAGGTGGCGCGAACAGTGGCGCGCGTTGTTCGACAGGCGCGAACTCCTTGGCCAATTGGGAAGTGGGTCGATGCCGACAATTGTTTAATTGTTCCGCGCGGCCCGTGCGCCGCTTTCACGTGCGCCACGGCGAAAATGAAAACGCCGAATCTCAGAATCTCGGCCCGATGCTTGGAGTCTGGTTTTTATCGGCCATTTATTAAGTTCGAAGAAACGAAAAGCCGGCGTTGAACGTGTTAGAAAAAAATCCCAGCGACACAAGATCCAATGCACTGTACTTGGACAAATCCTTGTCAAGGCTACATGGTTTTCGAAGAAAACAAACTCCAATTCGAAGTTCAAATTTAATTTCCTGAAATTGACTATTAATAAGTATAAGTAGAACATCAGTAAGTATATAACATTATAAATAACTTCAATTGTTTCATTGTTTTATATTTGAAGCATTG